GCCGGTCTGCCTATCTGTCACAAAATTGTGTCGGTCCATATTTCTCGAACACTTAATTAGAATGGGTAAATCATATGATGCTGCCCATGCTCTAAAGGTATGCAACAATTTTCATTCAAGGTATTATCTTAAAGGTCAGGGTCTCATGTTAATGAGGCAGTATTACTATTAGATACTTTTGAACTTTTTATCACCATGCTTTCAAAGTTCATTGTATTCTTCATTATGACCTAAAAAACTTTGTACGTATCTCTTCACCCGAGGCCATAGGTCATGATCACTGAACAAGACATTGAAATCATATCAGAGACATAACTCTAGATTGAAATGAAAATTTTTGAATATTAATTATGTTGGTGCCACTGTCCCACACGTGATTTGTAGTCTTGACTTATTATCATTTCACAAAGGTCAAAGCTATTTGAAATTGGTGTGTCAAGTCCACAACATTATAAGACATAGACTATAGTATGAATGCAAACTTCCGTGTCATAATCATAATGACTTGAAGGTGTGTCGTGATCTTGACTCTAGGTCAAATCTAAGATGTCAAGAACCTAAAGGTATAGGGATGGCCAGAATATATCTTGTGAAGGTCAACTCTTTTCTTCAGATAAAACAATACCTTTTTTAATTTATCTAATAATGATAAAAAGCACCATCGTAAAGTTTTTTGCAACATACTAGGTACTAAAATTATTATAGAATCGATGTAACAAATGCAGTCTATTCCCTCTAATATTTTTCTTTACTGGATAAAATTATGAAATAAAAAAAGCAGAACAATACAAATGACTCTTGAATGCCGGTATTTAACATTAAAAGATTTCTAACTCATTTACCAAATGTTTCTCATGGCTTCCTTCCTCTTGGTGAAATGTAATTGAATCAAAATCAAAACATTTTTATGTCACGATAAGCAATATATAAGATTTTAAACTCTAACCTCGCTATGACTATAAAAATCCGTCATTGCTTAATGACTAGATTTTGGGGATTTGATATTACACAAGATATTGACATAAACTACGAATACGGGAATCAGCATTTAACAGCTGTTTAAAGGTTTTCATTCATTTCAAAGATGTGGTCAAGGCACGACTGTTTCCATTGCTTAGTTACGTTTACCTATGATGTAAATCCAAATTCAAGATTTGGAGTACACGGTTATGAACAAAATAAAGCTGTTCCTATAAGTTATGGTCTGATCAATAAACATGCATAGGACAGACACTCAAGCCTGGTAAAGTAAATATCTGATAAGCAAAAGTGTAGACATCAGAGATGTTTGTAAGGAATTCACATCAGACAGAAAAATTTTGTCTTTTTTAAAACCATTTTATTTCAAAAATACTTTAATACATACTGTATTTTGAAAATTTTATTTCATGGAGTGATTTTTTTCAAAAAATTAAAACATTGTCATTACAATAATTTATATCTTTCCATGATGGAGTTAAATTTTAATAAAGTCCTACAATAATTTATGTCTTTCCATGATGGAGTTAAATTCGACTAAAGTCCTAAAGACTTGCTTTTGTAAAAAAAAACAAAAAAACAAAAAAAACATATATATTGAATTTCACTTGTGATTTTTATAGACCTGCTTAAAATGCGCTTCTGGTGCTAATCGCCACATTCACCAAGTGCTGATCCTAGTGATTGTTGATTTAATTGGTTACTTCCCATCAAAGTGACCACTGTACAAGTGATCATATCCTTACGCCCTTCTCTTCCTCAAGTTTGCTATAAGGATTTTGAACTGTGCCGATTTTGGTCAAGAACATGTTCCGAAGTTTGTTATTTCCTCCTTCTCCAGATTCCTCTTTAGCGATATTCTTCTTCGCCATTCTCTTTTTGACCGTCAAGCAACTGGATAATTGATTCAAACATTAAATATATTAGCATTGATCTTGAAAAACTAAATACAATTCATATTCTAATCATGAAAATATCAAAGCCCTATAATGAATAATAGATTTTTTTTTATATTAAATTCATTTCATTCGGATTCTACAGAGACAACACTAATGTGTTAACAGCAGGAACCATGTAAGTAATAACTAACCATAATAAAGCAAATAAAATGAGGACCACAACTCCTGCCATCGAAAATACACCCATGAAAAACATGTTCCAGGATCCCCTTTTGCGGTAAGACCTATACGTTCTGATGAAGTTGTTAAATTTTTCATCGTTGTCATCTATCTTGGTAAGAAACTGAGGATCACTAATAAATGGAGCATCGTTCATATCATCATCGATATCATCATTATTATCATCATCATCATTATCTAAATTATTCTCTCCCTCTGGTCCTTCGTCTTCTTTTCCCTCCTCTTTCCCTTCTATTGTATCGTTATCGGGTTGATCTTTGTCCTCCTTTACAAACTTATCATGAATGCTTACCATCATTTTGTGTAAGAGTCCGTTTTCTGAAATGAAAACCACACAATCTTTTACATCTTGTCTGTATGTTTATAATATCTTTAGATTCAATTTAGATTTAATTTATAAATCATATTGTGTTCAAATTAATGTAAATTATTTTGGAAAAGCTAACAAATTAAGAATTTTTTCAATATAATTTAATTTTTAATTTGTGTGAATGACGGTTAGAGAAGGAAACATACCAAATAAACAGATATGTTTTTCGAATTTTGGAAACTCCATACATTTAGAGGAACCAGCACACTCGTTCTCAGAGATGCATGTCTTTGCCAAGTGAGCAGAGTTTTTGCGAAGCATCCTACGTACAAAAGCTGCAACATATAAAGCAATGTTTTAAGTATTAGTATTCTTCTTTATATAATACAAGAAGGATAATTGTAATAAATAAATCAAGAGTGAAGTTATTAATGTATCTCTTAGGTATCATCTTCACGCACCTGGCATACACATGCGTACTCCTAAGTTCTGAACTTCTTCACATTTCCCTACATTGTTACAGTCGCTGTCGACAGAACAACTTTCCAGAGATGGCAACTGGGATATTTTTTTTTCCATCATATCCACCATTTTTTCTTCAAAGCAAAATATGAATAATCTATCTAGGCTTGTGAAAGATAATGTCTTGCTTCTCATTTTACAATGTAATTTTAATGCTAGCAGTATTAATTTAAAATAAATCACCAAACATTTTTGTAAAATAAATCTTTTATTTTATTTCATTTTATAAAAAACAGAGTTGTGATCATACTAGGCAAACAGATGCTTTTATCCATTAATTCCATATTAACACATGTAGCAAAACTGGGGCAATCTGATTCGGAGGAACAAATTAACTTTGGAAGTTTTGGAAACCTTTTCCCTCGTGATCCCTCTCTCCTCTGGCGGCCTACAAAAATAAAATAGTCTTCACGATGATGTAGTACATTGGGGTTAACGGAGAATTGACGGGAGTCGGAATTACCGCTACATTGCGAAAATTTTCAAATCGTTACCGCTACATTTTATCAATAAGATTATTGGCGATTACAACTCATTAACGCTACATATTCGAATTTGCTAGCATTGGCACGTAATATGAGTTTTATTCAGTATAATTCACTCACAATGTAGTGACGTACAATTTGGATCTGAGTTCTATTAAGGAATAATTGTCTTTTTATTTCCTTTTTTTCGATGTGATAAATCGATTGGCTTGCGAGATAATTTGCATAAACGCTGAAGGCGTTTATGCATAAAATCATCACTCAAGTCAATCGCTTGATCATCATCATAAAACAAAAAAAAATGACAGTTATTCCTTGTATTAATTTGACTCTGTAAATTCACGTGCTCGATCCTAGCCCCGCCCACTTCTCTTACTCCTTTTTTTAGCCACGCCTCTCGATGGACCAATAGCTTTTTAAAGAAACCTAGGTTTTTATCATTTGCAGTTTTATTTCGGACAAAGAAATTTGACAATGTAAATATATCAATATGATTCATTCAGTCTGTAGTTGAAATACAATTATTTAGCGGCAGCTGAACGTCATGGCTACTATTGATAAGTTTGTAACAAATCGCGACAATGCAATATAGTCATTAATGGACATAAATTCCGTATAAGAACAATTCTCGGTTTTAAAATCCTACATTTAATGAAATTGTTTTTTTTTTAAGTGAAAAAAACATCGTGCTCAAGTTCTACTTTCACCTCTCCATGGTGAGCAGAGGAAACAGGTTTTATTAAATGCATGTATATGTTGTACATGTGCTTAACCTTTATATCAATCTGTATATGCATACGAAGAAGACGTTTTGACGGTAATGTATACTTGTACAAGTTGCGGTAATGTACACTCTTTGTAGCGGTAATATATAGTTTTTGTAGCGGTAATGAGTATGAAGCGGTGATGAAAATTTTAAAAATGTAGCGGTAATGATCAGTACCTGAAAATTGAAGATGACATAAAAATATATGTCAATATGTTGCTTTTCAACATTAACTGGGTTAATAGCTTTACTTATATTAATTTGAAAGTCTTGAAATTAAAATAATTTTTAACATGTTTAAAATAAAACCAAAAGAGTTGACTTTCAAAAAACAAAACAGATACATGTATATCAAAAAGAAATAAAAAATGAAAAGAAATAAATAAAACACAAAGATGTAAGTAACACAATCAATGGAACTCCTTATTACACATTAGAAAGACCAAAGAAGATTAAATTATTACATTTTCAATGTAGTAAAAGTCTACGTTTATACTTGCAATCTTACCTCTTCGTGCAACAACCAACCCAACTATTAACAGGAGAACGAAAATCTGTAGATGCTTCATGGTGGTTTCTTTTGTCTCTTCTGATTTAGAGTTACTAAACTACTTTATTTATGTATCTTATTAAGGTGATTATTAAGGTCATCTCGAATATAAATATAGCACAAGGTGGCGTTACAGTTGCCCAAATGTACAATAACATCCGCTCGCCATTTCCGTTTAATATATTGTGCATGGATTTATATCCTTCTTAAGCCAAAGCCATATGCAGGTTTATGCAATTTCATCACATTGATGAATAATGAAGAAAATGAAGTCCATTTGTACTTTGGCGGATTATCCACAGTAGAACAGGGGGAGGTTCAGCTGGTGAGTATAATTAAACCAATAAATTACCAAAAATTAGGGTTAAAAACAACTTTTGTGCTTTATTTTATAATTTTTCCTAAATTTATTATGTTCAATTTTTAAATTTTATAGAATATTTCCTTCCTAAAAATTGAAATTTAAAATACAATATGCATGTACATATATTTGTAATTTTTATTCAGAGCCACTGACCAGATTCAATTCAAAGAGTATGGGAGAATCGGACAGAAATCGCCTGAGTGATGTTTTGACTTCGAAGGTACAACCAGCTTTTTGCAAAAGGCTTAAATAATAGTGTGAAATTAAACTTCTTTATTATAAACTTCTATTATTCATTTATCTTGGGGGGGGGGGGGGGGGTCACAACAAAATAATAACAACACGACAGTTAACAAACAGTTATAATAAGTTGTTAATACATGTATACTATACATTTGTCGGTGATCCGTGTCCCTAGGATGAAATTGAATGATGCCATGCAATGTAATACATGTTTTTCTTTTAATTATTTCCAGTAAATTTGAACAAAACAAAGCTACATTTGCTTGAAAACCCATAGGTTTTTTAATTACTTTTAAAAAATGCAAATTAGCAAATTCATAAAGCTAAGGTAAATACTGAGTGAATTGGTCCGTAAGTTTGCATATTCTGACTACATGAAGATATGTATGTTAAAAAAAAAATAATTTTTCGAAGAAAATTCTCATTAATCTTAATACAAACATCCAGATTCCATGCATTACACGAGAAGAAGGTATATAGATTTCAAGGAAATTCGATTCATCATTGATTAGACCTCTTACATGGTTATATGTGGCTGCTTTGCCACGAGTTGGACAACACATAATCACACAGTAGTTTTATTTTATTGATACTCGAAATTTTACTTATTATAGAAAACGACGAAGTAGCTCTCCACAAATTTACATATCAACAAAATTGTAACCATTTTTTTTTAATTAAATGAAGCTTTGAAAACAAAGAACAAAATTTTTTGTCAATACCACGAAATTTATTTATTTATTTATTGGGGGGGGGGGGGGATAAATGGTGGTCTACCCGTGGTCATAAAACTGCATATATTCAAAATACAATTTCCTTTCCACATTAAAAATCTATTTTTTATATAGCGTAATTATCAGAAAATTATCAGAAACAAAATTTCTGATTTATAAGAAAGTGCGAATACACAAAGTTTCAGACCATAATTTTTATGCCCCCGTAATCGAAGGTCGTGCCCCTCTTCCCCCCAATAATTTTGCCGATATATAGAATACTATAGAAAACTATAGAAAACCCTCAATAAAAACGTCTGATGACCTTTTTTTTTAATTTTACTTTGCTTTCAGGGAATTTTTATTTTTGGTAGTTGATAGTGCCCCCATACTGAAAATATATGGCTGTGCCCCCCAACTGAAATTGCTTACTACGGGCCTGCTTCACATGTGTAATTCTTGTGACAAGGCCTACCTTTGGATACCAACAACTTTGACTTTTTGACATTGACCTAGGAGTGACATATTTTTGAAAAAGTTTAACCTTGGCCATAACTTTTGAACGGTTGGTGCTAGGGCTTTCATACTTCACATATGTGTTTCTTGTGACAAGACCTTACTTTGGATACCAACAACTTTGACCCTTTTACCTTGACCTTGTAGTTTGACCTACTTTTGAAAACCTTTAACACTGGCCATAACTTTTGAACGGTTGGTGCTAGGGCTTTATATTTCACATTTGTATTTCTTGTGAGAAGGTCTTTCTTTGGGCTCCATTAATTTTATTTTAATATTAATAATAATTGCATTTGAGAAAGCTTAACCTTCGCTGTAAGTTGCCATACGGGGGCATCAGTGTTTCACAAACACATCTTGTTATACATTTAACTTAGTATTGCATTGTCGCAATATGTCACAATAAATTCAGAGAATTAAGGACAAAGATACAAACCTTTTTTTCAAAAATCATGAAAATAATTTAATCTGTGTTTATCAATGTTTCTCAATATTGTCCAATGAAAATAATTTAAAAAAATTCATAGATCTATAAAGGTGATGGCAAAATTAAAGAAATTTGAACATGACAAAAAGTTGTGTACAATTTTCAATATTTTAGAGCTTTAGCACATGCATTATTTGGAACCAAACCAAGTCCAAAATAAACCAATCCATGGATTCAATTTTTTTGTTTGTAGTATGTGTCCTTATGAAACTGTTTTGATTTTTTCAACAGTTACAAGCCTTTCGTCATGCAGTGAGACGAGTCCTTATCTTGATGAAACTAAGTCGTCCTGTGACTTCAGATATAGATGCCCGTCCCCCGTACGCCACCCCAGCCGGAAGTCCAAAAAGGTCTAATACTAAAAGACTTCCGTCAGAACAAGAAATACGCGAGGCAGAACTGTCACATGAATATAACTACCCAGACTTATCACTGCTGAGAAAGGAGGTCAATCAGCCACCACCTCCGGATATCACCACACTTCCAAGAAGCCATGCAAAAAGAAAACAGAATGGGGAACGATGTGGTGGTAGTCAGCTCGGAAGGTCGTTGAGCGATCTCTGTACCAATAGCAGGAAGCAAGCAAAACCACGCAAAAATGTGTCGTTGAAAGCCAAGTTATTTGAGAACCCCGATGAAGATAGCGATTCGGAAGAATATTTGTACCCTACGCCATCACCAAAACAACCGCAGAAGCATTTCTTTCCACCAAATTCAAAACCTCCATTAGCAAATAAGCCATCCTTTCTGAAAAAATCACCAGCTCAAGCCACTGCCATGAACAACATTAATCATGTAGACAAAGCCCGCAACTTTCTTTCCACGAACTTGCAGCGAAAACTGGAGATTGCAAATAAGCCATCTCCACGGCCCTGGAAACCACAAGAACACCAGCCCACAAACATGAACAATCCCCCGGACTATGTAGACATGGGCAATTTCAGAGATATTTCTTTGAACTCAGAAATAGGAAAACCTGTTGGAACTGTGAAGTTAAGACCGGTGGGGAAAGTGGCGCCAAGTTTCGAAGAAATCAAAACAGAAGTCCAACAAATTTCATCTAAAACAACGTTCAGTGATCTTGGTGTAACAGAATTAGTTGCTTGTCTTCGAAAATGTGGACTCTGGGAAATGGCAGACGTTTGTCAGGCAGAGAAACTGGACGGTGCATTCATTAATGAATTGTCTGTGAAAGAGTTACAGGAATTCAAACTGACACCATTACAAATGGTTAAACTAAATAAGGTGAAATCTGGTTGGAGACCAGTCACAACTCAACTTTTGTAGAGGAGCTTTGTCTTGATGTGGATTGTCCTCTAACGTGAAGAGCTGGTTTCCAGACATTCTTCTATCCCGGTGAAAATTTATTGATATAAGTGATTTATAGATATTGTTTAGAATATTATTATGTAGGTGAGTAGCATACAAAAACTACTCTACATAGATAGTGTCTACTATTTGTTGCAAATTTCGATCATATTTTCAAAATTAATTTTGATCTTGAATTATTGTTTACTTTATATATAAAAACAATATAATTTTAATATGGGCTAAGTTTTTATGTCAAAGTTATTATTGATAAGGAAAATTTTATTCTAATGATTTTTAATGATTTTGTTTTGTTTTGTTTTGTTTTATCTTGAATAAATATTTCCAGCGTGTCTGTGATTATTTGGACCAAAACTGTGCAGGATTTATAGCCTGATTTAATATTAATCAAAGAGGCAAAGATTACCTAATATGCTGGCCATTTGTCATAAACATCCCCGCTAACTTTTCCTACCCCGGACTTTAATTGAAACTTGTTGTAAAATGACAGACAGCACCTGTAGATATGACAAATAAATATTACACTAGCTAGCTCATTGAAAGAAAGGTAACCCACAAATGAAACAGTCTACAATGTATTCCTCCTAGAGATTCAGTTACTGTAGACTTTTTCGACAACAAAGTTTATTTAGTTAATTGGGTCAATTATCATTTTAAAGACTTCTATGATTGAAATGGTGATGTTGCAACAACATAATTATTTAATATTTGTTAAAACTTGGCTTTCTTTCTATACATGTGGTAATCCAACTTACACTTACTTTTCCCTCTCAAGATATAAAAATCTCCATAATCATGTTCACGTTTTTACAAACTTTTAAATTAACAACAAAGACAGCGGGGGTGTATTTGAGGTACCTTTCCTTCACAAGATCCCCAATTTCATTTCAATCTTTTCAAACAAAGCTATACTAGTATTGCCTGGGTCCCGTAAATGTTCTATCAAGCCCCTTTCTTTACTCTTTAAAAGATATTAACTGCTGTGAAGGAGAAATCTCAAATGTTATATGCTTCTGTAATCAAAAAGGTGAAAACAAAATGTGGATTCTCAAAAACTTCAAAGACGATTCAGAAAATTGGAAACACAGTTTCATCGTTCTCAAAATAACACCATCAAAACGTAGGATTTTTAAATACTTGAAAAATTACATTAAATAGCATGCTTTTTGACATCGTCGAAACTGCTTCTTCAATGAAAAAGAAAAAATGAGAAAGTTTCATACCTTGATGTAAGTCATCTATCATTAATTAATCTATAATTCAGAGCTGTTTAAAACATACTTGTATGCGTTAAAATAAAGGAGAGACATACCTTTATAGACGTAAGATTATTAGATGAATACCACGGTTGTCCATCTTTTTTAAAAAATTGTCATTATCTTGTTCATAATGGCAAAAATATTAACATTTGAATGAATTTGTACAGTGGGTAATGATGAAATATTCATGTATTGCTAAATAAAGCAAATTAATTTGGATTGAACACTAAAGTAATAAGTATTTTAGGTTCTTTTTAGGTGCTTATGAAATTCTAAAACTTTTTTGCCCAGAATTCAATTGAAAAAGTGAAGAAAACGGACAGCGATCAATCTCCTTAATCTTGTAAACAATACAATCCGAAAAAAGGACAAAAGCATGGTCTAGTGCAAACTAGAGACGAGATTGTGTAAACAATTCAATCCAAAAAAAAGGACAAAAGCATGGTCCACTGGAAAACTAGAGATGGGATTGTGTAAACAATACAATCCAAAAAAAAAAACAGCACAAAAGCATGGTCTACTGGAAACTAGAGATGGGATTGTGTAAACAATTCAATCCAAAAAAAAAAAAAAAAAAAAAAAAAAAAAACAGGACAAAAGCATGGTCAACTGGAAACTAGAGATGAAATTGTGTAAACAATACAATCCGAAAAACAGCACTAAAGCATGGTCTACTGGAAACTAGAGATGGGATTGTGTAAAGAATTCAATCCAAAAAAAAAAAAAAAAAAAAACAGGACAAAAGCATGGTCAACTGGAAACTAGAGATGTGATTGTGTTAACAATACAACCCGAAAAACAGGACAAAAGCATGGTCCACTGGAAAACTAGAGAAGGGATTGTGCAAACAATACAATCCGAAAACAGGACAAGATCATGGTCCACTGGAAACTAGAGACGTGATTGTGTAAACAATACAATCCGAAAAACAGGAGTAACTTTAAACGAGACTGATGAATTCCTGCAACTCAACATATTCGCCAGTAGCCTGCCTCAGTTTAAAATTAACCATAAACAAAACATGATGTTCGTACCGAATCAGTTGGGAGACATAGACACCATATGGGTGAATTAAAAAATAATGACGACCAAACTGAATTTTTTTTTAAATTCAACTAACCATAATATACTTTTCACTTATTTCATCATATTGTACTTGCATTCTAGTTAAAATTCCTGAAGTTGCAATAGAATAGACAATCAAATAAAAGTTTCAGAATTTTTATTAGTAAATCTTTATTTGAAAAAAGAAAATATCACTACATGTACATCCTAAAAGACTTTCTAAAATATATAATCGAAAGAAATTATATTTTTTGTGCTTCAAAATGGTATTACGGATATAAATGATTAGATCAAAACCTTGATTGTGTTTCTTCTCTTGTATATGTGAGGGAAAAATGGCTTTTTGGTTATTACAATTCTGGTTTGAAAAGTTTTAATATGTAATAGTTACATGATGACACGAGATGATGCATACAAAATATCGTTGAGTTATTGCACGCGAGGAGGCGTTAGCCTCCGAGTTTGCAATAACGAAACGATATTTTGTATGCATCATCGAGCTGTCAATCATGTAACTGATTTATCCCTTGACCCTTCATTTGACCTTTCCCCATATTTGGTATTTTCTTTGCATCAACTAATAAAGACCCTGAAACAGAACCACGTGATAGTCTTAACTGGTAGCCAAGTAACAGATTTCCATATTTGGTAATTTTCTTAGTACTGTACGTACCACGTGACCGATTTTTTTGAGATCATCAATTTATTTGTTCCATGACCCTTCATTTGACCTTTTCCCATATTTGGTATTGTCTTTGCATCAACTAATAAAGACTCTGAAACAGAACCACGTGATAGTCTTAACGTGAAGGGTTTTGGTATCTAAGTAACGATTTTCCAAATTTGGTAATTTTCTTAGTACTGTACCACGTGACCAATTTTTGAGATAATCGATTCATTTGTTCTATGATTAGACGAAGATGACAGAAGGAGTTCAGAATAACGAATTGGAATTAAACGCCGTTTTTCAGCAAGCCTACGACGAGGATGATTTTCAGTTGAGTCAGGCAGTTCAGATGTACGAACTAAGTCAATCTGATTTAAATGGCCAGGACTTTGGGAATTTCGATATACAGAATTGGTGTTTGGAAGCGTTTCCGGAATTAAAACGGGAAAATTTTACGGAATGGACTGAAAATACTACTACTAGATTCGGAAAACCTGTCTCGGCTACTGAGATAAGTGCACTTCAAAAAAATCAAGAAAGTAAAAACACGCGCCGTAACACTTCATGGGCAGTTAAAGTGTTCAACGACTGGAAATCTCAGCGTAACCAACAGCAACTTGATTTTAAAATCATTCCCGAAATCCTCACAAGGACATACCAAGAACTTACGTATACTTTATCATGTTTTGTGATTGAAGCCAGGCGTGCAGATGGTTCCCCCTACCCCCCGAGAACTTTATATCAAATCTGTTCCGGTATTCTACGGTACATGCGAGAGGAAGGTGTTCATGATATGAACTTTTTAGATGTCAAAGATGCCCGTTTCCACGACTTCAGGAAAACTCTAGACGCGCGAATGAAGGAGCTAGCATCCCAAGGAATAGGAGTGTCTATAAAGCAAGCGGATCCGTTAACGCCGGAACAAGAAGACGTCCTGTGGGAGAAAAAATTACTGGGATCGCATACTTCAAAGAGTTACATTAACACTGTATTTTATTACAACTGCAAACTTTTTGGACTCCGTGGACTAGATGAACACCGAAAATTAGAGGTATGTCAAATCAAATGTGGCGATTCTGGTGGCATACATTGAATTTTGTGGGCGCACGTCAAAGAATTTCTCCGGAGGATTACACCAGAGAAACATTCTTGCCAAGACGATACGCCACTACTCAGAATCCGGTACACTCCGCAGTTTGATTGATGTTTATTCGTCCTACATTTCTCTGGTGGGGGAAGGATCATTCTATAGACGATCACTCCCGGGACCCGAACCACGTTTCGGAATCCAGCCTATAGGAATCAACAAGTTGGGTACCATTATCAAGACCATGTGTGCCGAGGCAGGGTTTGTGGGGAACTTTTCAAATCACTCGGGGAAACGGACCTGTGCAACGACATTGTTTCAGTCCGGTAAGCCAAGATTTAGTTAAATTGTCTTTAAAAAAAGGGAAATATTTTATGTTTGATGACGTAAAAGTATGCTAGTTATATCGTGTACGTGACTCGAATTAATAATTTCAATATTTACTTACACTATCGGTTTTGAAGAGCAACAGATCATGGAGAGAACGGGGCACCGTAGTTCAGCAGTTAGAACCTACAAAAGGCAACTCCTTGAAGTAAGTCGAGCACTGGAGCCACCCCAAAAATCCCTTAAACAGTGTGACGACGTGGAGAAGGAAAATGCCATTATTCCAAAACCGGAGGATGACGGGAAGGAAAATTCTACTATTCTACCTAAACACCTTGAACAGGATGTGCGAATTCCTATGGGAGATAAAGTTATCCGCTTCGAGAATTGCTCCGTGTCAATGTCTTTTTTTGTAAACAGTGATTTCAAACATTTGTGTGGAGAAGGAGAATGCCATTATTCCAAAACTGGAGGATGCCAGGGAGGAAAATTCCAATATTCTACCTAAACAGCTTGCACAGGATGTGCGAATTTATATAGGAGATAACGTTATCCGCTTCGAGAATTGCTCCGTGTCAATTTATTTTTTGTCAGTTTGTAATTTGTGCTTTGATTTAAACTATGTTTTCTGCTCCAGAAGAGCGGGAAATTGT